ATTTTGTTCAGTCATATAGATGATGCTGCTTTAGTCATGGTTATTGATCGAAACAGGCGACAGCGACTGATCACAAGGGAGAAATGCATCAGTCGATTAATGGACGCATGATTTTCTTCACTAAACTGATAAAACTGATTTCCATTCTGTCGAACAATTTAATTACAACTCAGCTTCCAGTCATTATGAACAGAGAAACTTCTGAACATTGAGCCTGAATCCCCACAGACAAGTAATAAGTTACCTAGAGTCGCGACAACAATGGCAGCTTGACAGTCAACAGCCTACGAGTTACGTAGGACTGGAATTCCTGAACAGATGCATAACAACCACCATCTTGGAGAGAAATATTATATTTTGGAGACAGTAAGTTAATGGCATGCCGGTCACGGTAGCCGAGCGGTCTAAGGCATGCACTGTCTTCGCTCGCTCGGAAGCCGGGATCGTGGGTTCGAATCCCACTCAGGGCATGGATGTTTGTGTGCGTTTTTCTGTGTTTGTGTATAGGTAGAGGCCTTGCGACGAGCTTATCACTCCTACCGAATGTGTAAGATCTAGTAAACCGAAGTGAAACGGAGAGTTTCATGGAGGTAGGCCTAGGCTCAAAATTGGGGCTGTAGCGCCACAGAAATAAAAAAGTTAATGGCACGGCAAGATAAGAAGGTTAAGGTAAAGCTATTCCTGTAACAGACTGTGAAAGTCCATGGGGCTATGGGATGCCGAGGCTCCCACATTTCCTAGAAAATTGGTTCACAAACGACGGTGATGTCAGCCTCACGCGCCGGCCGGCTGCCCTTTACCCACAGGAAATTTTCTGGTACTCATTTTTGTTAGAGACTGAGTCGATCCCAGGGCCATAGGATTAGGTAAATTGAAAATGCAATGCCCTCATCGGGATTCGAAACCACGACCTGTGGCAAAATGCCGCAACCAACTACGCTACAGCGTGCTACCCTTATTCCGACAAGTCCAAAATGTTTTATAATGTTAATGAGAAAATTAAGTCACAAGTCCTTCTGTTGGCTACTTAACGATGTTTTAGGTAGCTGTACAAGCGGTGCCGAAAGGGAGGGTGATAGATGAATGGAGATTTGGATAGGAACTGGACAGATCTAATGCAGGTACCATCCCGGACTTCTATTGGAGAGACCGAAGAAAACCACGACGAACTTGATGGAGGACTGCCGGTGCCCCGGCAGGGAGTAGAACTATGAGCCTCCCGTGTACATAAGATTCTGGGGCGCCAACAGTTTGCCAGTCTCCTGGGTTTCCATACAGGCAGTCTGAGACACGACTCTGAGTCTTATGTTACGACTGACGGTCAGTCGGCCAGTCTGTCTTGGAACAAAGCACCCATCTGAGGCTTACGACCAGATTTTTATTACTGTCAGACAGTTGTGGGTTCGTTCGTGTGGGGGCGCTCTCTCTAACGAGAGGTGGGGCTTCTTGTTTACAATTTCCGCTGATTCTCGCCAGCGCAGTCTTCTTGGGTCCGAATCCCGTGGGACTCGCATCCATATATTACTGTCTAAAACACGATACTTCCGTTTTCGACGCCTCTTTCCACTCGCAGGATTACGGTGGAAGCATTCTAGTCCACCTCCACACGGGATGAGAGAGACGAATAATCCACAGCTGTTTTACATACGCGATAAAGTGTGGGGGTTAGTTCCTAATATACACGCCTTGGAGCCAACGTATTCAGTTTCAGATATCTCAAGTCCAGCCCCAGATGTGTCTGTGGATAGCATGAATAATACTTTTGTTTTCAATGGCTCTTCCAGCCCACTCAGGGCCCTGGCCTCTTATTCGGTTCCGTAATCATTTTTCACAGATAGTAGGACTCCTTGGACGAGCGATTAGCCCGTCGCAAGGCTGCTACCTACACACAGGAAGACACAAATACAGAATAAACGCATACACATACCAAACATCCCTGCCCTGAGTGGCACTCGAACCCACGGTCACAGAGTCCGAGCGAGCGAAGAGAGATCATGCCTTAGACCGCGCGGCTACTGTGACCGGCAGTAGGAATAGCATATACAGTTGGAAATCTGATATGATAGTCGTAAAGCGAGAAAGACATAGGCAACAAAATACCATAGAACAATTGTACGTGCATAAGAAAGTACTCCCTTTCATGTCTTATCCTATACACTGATCTGACAATCGACGCGACCCATTTTGGTTTCGACAAGAAAGCCCATAACAGTGCTGCTGTGTTGTTACAGTCTTAGAGCAGCAACGACATATCTGCACTTTTAGACGATGTCATGCTCTGAATTTCGATATCTTACCTCCAAAAACCTCTCTCTTTAACCTGTAAAATACATTCCCTTTAATCGTTTCGAGTCTATGTCCCACAAGAGCCTGCACTGAACCAACTCCAGCCCTTGTTGTGCCGGGTATGAATTTAGTGCCAAAGCAAACAATGAAATAGAGGTGTGTTAGTCTGTAAATGAATTCAGAGCACAAAATCGACCAGGTTTTTTAGAACGAAACTTGAAACTTAATCTATTTGTAGGACTTGTGGAATTTAAGAACTTAATATAACTTCCGAAAATGTTGCGAATGGAAAGGAAGAGGTCTTCAAGTGTCACGCCTAATCAGAATTATCTCTGCTTCACTGGTTCTAATGTCACGTGGTTATGTGTGTTGCAATGGCTGCCTGTTTTCAAACAGTGCAACGAGAATATTTTAACATTATGCGCTTGGGAGTGGAAAACCCCATGTATCCAGGGAATTTACGATTTGTGGTCTTCATTCCTTCACTGTAATGTATTATACTATGATCTTGGAGGAACCTGCACCATGCGGAGGGTCACAAATTATGCCCCATTAGAATGATAAAATCAAGAAGAATGAAATGCGAATGGGTATGTAGCACGCATGCAAGGAAAGGGCAAACAGAGTTTTTGTAGCAATATCAAGGAACGAGATTAGTAGGAAGATCTAGAAGTGCATTTGAGGATACTTTTAACCGGATATCAAAGGAGGATGCAAGTGTGTAGACTGGACTTCTCTGGCTCAGGACAGGGAGAAATGGAGGGATCTTGTAATCAAGAACCTTTTGGTACTGAGTGGTTCAGTAAGGTACTCAAGAAAGACTCAGCTCCATGGAATTGATTAGGCTACGTAATAACGCTAGAAGTAACCCGGACTAAACAGATAGTGACTGAAAGGTGCAGACAAACTTTGGGCACGAGATCAACACGCCAAAAACTGGCTCAGAAACGACAGTGGGTTTGTCAGCCTTAATGGCCGGCCGCCCTTTACCCCAAGGAAAAGTCCTGGTACTCATTGCTGTTAGAGGCTGAACCGACCAGAGGTTTATATTGCGGCTGGAAGAATTAGGTCAATTGAAAATCCAATTACCTCATCGGGAATCGAAACCGCGACATTCAGGCTTGTAGTATAGTGCTTCAACTATCTGCGATACCGCGTTAGCAGGCTGGGAGTTTCTAAGATGACACGAACAGTGGTCAAGGCTTGTCCTATATTTGAGTGACTGTAGAATCGAGCCGGGACCTCTCTTACCAGTGTCGCACATATCTCTTAAATTTTTCTGCCAGTCCTAAAACAATATCTGGCCTGAAAAACTTCTCGCGTCAACATCTACCAACTTTTCTCCTCACGGTGCCCCCTAGGGAAACCATTTGACACGGGTCAAGAAGACGAGAGAAAAAAAGAAAACTTTCAGCGTATTAGATTTTCGTAGCAAAAAGATACTAAGTGACGCGCGTCCATCGTCTTCAGGCTCTAATGTAGAGCAAAAGAAAATAACGACGGGACGCATAAAAAGTTTGGTGAACTTTATAAAGAGATTTTTCTCTGTGATGTATATGTATTCCGCAACAAACAGGGAGCAACTGTACTGCACGCATAATGGAAAGTACACTCGTATCTGCAGGTTTGTCCCCTCTTATCTCTATCATGTAACCTGCATACAGAAAACAAAGTGAGGACTTGTATGCTCCATAATGTAGTACACGGAACTGTCAAAGTCTTCATCTGAAGTTTATGAAGTTTACACATAATTAGTGATTCTGAAACGCAAGAAACATAATGTGTCCCACATGGAATTTAAACAAAATGTGTGAATTGTAACTCCGTGTTCTCAGTCCTTGCCGTCTTTGTGAAACTGCATCAACATACTAGCATTCACACTTCGTCTTCGTCTGTTCTCATTATATAACACTATATGTTTCGGCCTAACTGACCATCGTCAGAGGTACAAGATGTTGGATTAAAGGAAATTGCTATTCTGTTGCCACGCTGTCCCAAAATATTTCATTTTAAGTTATTTTAGATTACTATGCCGCTGTTATGTACTTGTCTGATGTATATTTTGTTGATGTGCTGGTTTATCCTTCTGTGGTGTCTTTGGCTGTTCTGAAGAGCTACTTTGTTGATATGTTAGTTTATTCTTTTGAGCTGTGTAGCTGTTCAGAATCTCCATCATCGCCCCTCAACCCTGTGTCCGTGAAGCCTCGAAAGGACTCACAGTTTACATTGATCCTTCTAGACAAAACCACAACCACGAATATATACGGCTACGCAGGTAAGTTAGTAAGGGAAATTAGGGGCGTCGTTCAGCTATAGAGTGGAGGTAGCTCAGGTGCCTGCATGTCTGTAGCAAAAGCTATTCACTACCATCAATATCGTAACCGCCACTCCCATCGAAGCGCTTATCTCATAACAAATGACTGTACACACTTCTCTTGACCAGAGGAGAGATCAAAAAATGGAATTTTGAATTGCTGAAACATTATGAATGAAGATCTTACATTCCCAAAACATTAAAAAATATTTCTTACGTAGTGAAAAAATTATTTTCGTGTCCAATTAAAAAAAATTACATGATGTAGTTTTTAAGGCTCAAAGAGATGACCGTGATGTCATATAATGGCGGCAAGAATTACAGCCCTACCCGGTTTCTCTCACTCCCCTGTTATTGTGTAACATATGAATCAGATATTACATGTGGTGTTTCATTTTACCGGTTCATGAAGTGAGTGAGGTAGTGCCGATATTGACAGCTTGTGCGTTGTCTCCGCTCTGGATGGAGAAGTGCCTGTAGGAGATGTACTCCTGAGGCAGAGGCTGGTCACGCTTGTTTGATACCCGCTGCTTCTTGAGCTTCAGGTAGCCCAGCACAGACACTAACACAATAAACACCACGAAGCCCATGCAGCTGCCCACGATGAGCCCAAGGCGCCTTGTGAGGATGGAGCCACTCTCGGGAAGCCCCTCACCAACCACAGGTGCCTCCAATGTGCGCACCTCCGTGCATCGTGTGGAGGGTGAGTCACTCAACAGCGGGTGGGTTGTGTTACCACCTGTTGCCCAGTTGCCGAGCCCCACCACACATATGAGATAGCGGGTGTCTGGTGACAGCTTTCCCAGTTTCACGGTGCGCAAGCCCCGCTCCAGCAGCTTGCCACGTACCTGCAGGGGCAAGTAGAGGGATAGACCCTTTGCAACAAATATCATTGCATGAATACAGAGTTTTAACTTCAGTATAAATTAAGAAAACAATGACAGGTACTTTAACCATGCATGGAATTACACTCATAATTCTGTTCCAGTTTCGTGTAGACACTTAGTACAGAAATATATTTGAACAGATGGTTGATCGAACCTACTTCAATTGAGAAATAAATTAAATGGCTTCCAGACATGCATGGATAACATACTGAAGTATATGGCTTCACTTGAAGGAAATGGGACGGTGGCTCAAGTCAGAGTGATCTTGTGCTCTAAAATCTGAGGTAACTTCAATATAAAAATAATAAATGCATTTACTCTCATATGCAACAAATTATGTATCATGTTTCGGCCATGAGGCAACTTGCATGGGCATTTACTAATATACTATTCTTAAAATTTACATAAATTTCAGATATTTGTGTTTTAACATATGAAACAATTAGTTTATAAAATAACCATTTATTATCTTTGGTAGGCTGGGTTACTATGATGACTGAGGTAGCAACATTTAAAACGTCAGAAAACCTCTACAGGACTACAGAATGTCACATCCCAGAAGAATATAATTTTCATAGCACCACTGTGAGACCCTCAAATCCCACATGACAATTATCAAGTTACAAACCACAAGTTTATATTCATCATTTACACTCCTCTGTAAGTCAGGTTTAAGCATAAATATAATTTCCCAGTCTTTCTTGCTAAGACGCCAGGTGTTGATATCCTACCAATGAAAATATGGAAATCATAGCTTCATGCAAACCCGATAAACAGATGATGAATGCTAATGCAGACTTGCGTCACCAGGCTGGTTAACTACCACTGACATAAGAGATAAGACCCACTTTCAATATTAGTTATGTGTTTTGCTTGTTTTGCTAATCCATACTATTTATTTTATATGGCACATAGAGCCCCCATTATTTAAAATACATTTAAAATACTCAATTTTAAGTGCCATGTCAGCTGAGTCGGTGCAGCAATTGGGTTATGGACTAGACAACCGGGTTTTGATTTTTGACAGATACAGGAAATTTTATTCTCCTCTATAGCCACCAAACCGGTTCTGGAACCCACCCAGCCACCTGTTCAAGGGACATTGAGAGCTCTTTCTCTGGAGATGAAGAAGCAGTAGCTTGAAGCTGACCACTCGTCTCCATTTAGTGTCAAGGTCAAGAATGTGGAGCCACACCTCAACTCCTCCATATCCACTTTCATGGCGTGGTGCTGAATCAGATAATTAAGTAGAAGGATAATTTCTGGTATTTAATTTATTAAAAATATTTATATATAACATGTGAAAAACTGTATACATTTAGATAGCTTATAAATAGATGACCTGAAGATGGCCTGAATGCCGAAACTTGTGGAGAAAGTATGATAAACAGGCGTGTAGCAGAGCCAAGACAGCCCAGAATTATGCACCAGTTCTTTATTTATTGCTAGAATGCTGTCCTGTCACTTCACATCAGACAAGACTATAAAACGAAAAGTTGCTTCAGTTTGTTTCACTCCTAGCCTCTGAGGTGGAACTGCCAGAGTGTGCACAGCCTTTTGGTAGTTCGGCATCATTCAGCTCTGTGTTTATAACTGAAAACCGGTCATTAAGCAGAAATAAGAAATATCACGGTATCTTTCAACCTGCAAATGTCTACCATATCCTCTGGATTTCAGTTTATGGTAAATTACTTATAATGATAAATTAAAAGGTAAAACTGTCTTCATGTCTAATTAAGCATCACACCATAATGACATGGGAGGGAGGAGGCATAGGGTTCATGTATTCTTAGCCTTAACAGCGGAATGGTCAGCTTCACACCTTGGCTGACTGAAGCCCAGAGAAAGAGCCTCCTAGACTCACTTGCTAGGATATTGTATGAACCCCAGTACAGATATCGACGCAGTGCAGAAGATAAGCATCTCTCTGCTGCCGGAAATCAAACATTTATTGCTCTGTATTCCAGCCCTTAAACTAGTTGCTATAGCAACTGAGCTATCCCAATTCATTCAGTAATTTGTTGTGTTTAACAATACATGCAATTGCTACCAACTCCTATAATAATACGATATTGCTTTCAATTTTAATATAATGCCAGCATAATTTATACGTAGATTTTAAAAACTACTAACTTATTCTTATAAGACTGAACACTCACACAAATACTTTGGTATCGAAAAAGACAACAGAAACAAATCAGTGTTTCTGTTTAATTTCAATGGCCAGTCGGAGATACAAGGCCTCAGATCACATGAAAAAAAAAAGTATGCCGTAAAATTCACAAATGCAGGATCTTTTGAAACAAATGTACGTATATATTTCTGAATTTAATATTCACTTCAGATATTTCTCCAGTCCACCTGAACTCATATCCATGAACAAAGCATGAGAACACAGAACACTACTGAGGTGAAGACGGCGAAAGAGCTAAATACAGTCTACTTCAGAATTCATGTCATATTCCAGAAGGAAGAAAGCTTAAATTTGGTAAGCCACAAAACAACATTAACACACTAATTAAGGCAAAACTTTTCTAACAAACGATTAGTATTAGAGCCTGTTTCTAGCAATGATTTTTAACTCATATCGTAAGATGTGTACATACGCACCGCATCATTCCTGTCAAGCGCATGGTAGGCAACCCGGAACCCGTGAAGACCGGAGTGGTTGCGGCTCTGCCAGGAGACTATGACGCTAAAGGGCTGAATGTCCTGAATGGCGAGCTTGAGGACCAAGGGTGTGGAGCAGAACCGAGGGGGCTCCAAATCAAGGAAGAGCAAGCCACGCAATTCTGGGGGCTGTTCACAGCGCAGCCCCCGTGTAGTGACATCAACTAACTTCTGGTGATCTCGCAGCCACTCCCAGAGTTCCTGTGAGTCGCAGCTGCAGTGCAGTGGGTTCTCTTCTGTGCGCAGACTGCGGATCTGTGTCTCCAGTGGACGGAATGCGCTCAACGGCAGCTTCTCCAGGTAGTTTCTGCTCAGGTCAAGCAACCGCAGCTTCTTCAGAGGCCGGAACGCATCGCTAGCTATTGCTGAGATCCAGTTCCCATACAGGTGCAGCTCAGCCAAATTCTCAAGGTACCGAAATGTCCACTTGCCAACTCGGGTCACCTGGTTGAACGACAAGTCCAGAATTTGGAGTGATTTCAAATCCTGAGGAAACTCCTCCAACTCTTTCAGCCGATTGTGTGTGAGGTTCAGGAGCCTCAGGTGACTGAGACCCTGCAGCCGTTCCTGAGGCAGGAGCTCCAGCTCGTTCACTCCGAGGTCTAGAGTCAGCAGATTTGGTAAACTCCTGAAGGCTCCTGGAGAGACACGAGAGATCCGATTCTGATCCAAGAAAAGGTGCAGGAGTGATGGGAAGGCCTCGAAATCTTTGCTGGTCACAATAGTAAGGTTGGTACCGCTAATATGTATCTCTTGTAGGCTGGGGTACAGCCGGACGGACGAGAGGTCATGGATGCGCGACAGAGGGTTACCAGTGAGATTCAGCCACCCTAGTCCTGGTAAGTTCAGAGCTGCGGTGGGAATCTGTCGGAACTTGTTCTGGGCGAGGTCAAGGCGACGGAGGGAAGTAGAGAGGTGGAAGAAGTTTGCAGGTAGAGCGGCCAATGAGTTACTGCTGAGATCCACACTTGACAGCTGTGACAAATTGGCCGATGCAAAGCCCGAGAGCGATGAAATGCCATTGGCACTGAGGTCCAGTTCACGCAGACGAGTCAAGCCACTCAGCCGAGACATGTCCACAGCTAACAGCTGATTACCTGACAGGGACAGTACCTCCAGGGAGCTGAGGTTGCTCAGTGAGAAATATGGCACTTCGAGAAAGGAATTTTGAGCCAAACGCAGTTCCCTGAGACTTTTCAAAGAGGCGAATACTTCACGTCCCAATTGCTTCAGGTGGTTGTCACACAGATCGAGATGTTCAAGGTCCTTGTTTGAGTTGAGCAGAGCGCGTGGAAACTTGCTGATTTGTGCACTGCTGAGGGCTAGGAACTGCAGGGATGGGAGACCATCCAGTGCGTTACCCTGCACCGCACTCAGGTTGTTGTGTGAGATATGCAGCACCCGCAGCCCCGGAATGTCCAAATGCCGTAGGGAACCAGCGCTTAGGAGGTTGAATTCTAGGTTCAGCTCATTCAGGTTGTTAAGCCCCCGGAATGCGCCGCTCTCGATGCGTGACACTGAACAATTGCGAAGGTTCAGGAGTCTGATGGGAAGCCCCTCCTGGTGACATGACATAAATATTGCACTATATTAGAGACAGGGATACTGAAGCGTTTACTGGCCGCATTTAAATTTGAAAGGAAATTGTAAAATATTGCTTGCGTGCTAGAACACTATAGCATAACTCAAATTAATAGATAATGGCTTCTAATATTAACACACATTTTCCAGGGCAGATGTCTGTCAAGTGGCATGCACACAACTGACTCTTTGGTGATTCGTTCACCACCCTTGGGTTAAACGTGTACAAGACTAGTGCGTAATCCATCAATGACAGTACTTTATCAAAGTCTTAAAACTTTCGGCTTTTGAATGTAAGTTGTTTATTTCTGGTAGGTGCAGACAGAGAAAGAAAATACTACAGCAGGCGAAATAAATACACACATAACAGAACAAAATAAAAATATAATTTATTTTCGTGAATCTACAAAATCAAGTCAATTCCATATCAAAATTTTCAGTTAGACGATGAGAAATTACGGGCCACAAAGTTGTATAATCAAGTCAAAAAGATATGAATACAGATTTGAACTTAATTTATTATAAGTAGCATAAAATGCGTGGATAAATGCAAAATAGACAGTAATGGAAGGATCCATTATGTGAACAGTGTTGGATAAATTTGTCCCTGTGCTTAACTAATTCAACACTATGCCATGAAGACGTATGGGGGTGAGGATGTACTTATCCCAGCTTTCTCGACCTCGGCACTAGTTGGAGGTGACTATTCAACTTCACGCCCCGGCCGCTTCAATCCCGAGGAAAGAGTTCTCGATACTCTAAGGATACAAGAATGGGCGGTTCCCATATTCAGTATCGAAGGCGTACAGAAGAGAAAATTTTTGACCCTACCAGTACTCGAACTCCGACCCATCGGCCGTCCAACCCGTAGCCTGTCGCTATACCGACTGAGGTGTCCCGACTCCCGCCTGTATACAGAATTGGGAGAATGTGAAAATGGGAAACCGCTGGAAAAATAATAGTGTTCAAATAAATAAACTGCAAAGAAACAAAGAGATACAAATAAATAAATAATAAACAAAAAGGGTTATAAAAAGAGAATTTCCAACTGTACATATTCTGACTGTGCTTGGCTTCCTACCGGACCCTGATGACAGAAACAGTACTCTTACTAAATGAAGCTGGTCACCGTACCTGGAAGATAGAATCATGCAGTACGGCTAGGCTATTGTCGCTGAGGTCCAGGGTTCGCAACTTCTTCAAAGAGCTGAGGGCGCGTGGCTCGATGGTCCGCAGCTCGTTGCCCGCCAGGTAGAGCTCCTCTAACTCGTGCAACTCGGCGAACGTGTGACCTGTCACGTGGTGCAGTCTGCTGACATCACGAGCAAGTGAGTCTCACATAATGAAGTATAAATTTGTGCGGTGGAAATTAATTTGACTTTAAAATATTCAAACTATGAACTGATAATCTGATATCAAAAATTTTACATATGGCATTAAATTTAGACATCCAGTACTTTTTGCTTTATATATTTCTGGTTCACAAAGCGAGGGTTTAATGCTAGTGTCAGAACACTGTCTGAACATTTTGCGCTAGATGTGAATTAGGATTTTATTTGTGTAAAGTGGAACTACATAAAAAGTTACGGGTTTCCAAACTTCTCTAAGCTGTATACACGAATAAGTGTAGTTTCACACTCACTTCATAAAGAGACAAAATAGGAACTCCCGTACGTTTAGAAGTTGAAGTATTACAACATAAAACCGCATAGAGAATTTTCAGACTTGGCAACACTGCAAAAAATGGATCAGAATGTGATGCAAATTATTCAGCTCAAGTAATAAATGGTTGGGAAATACAGCAAACCGTCATACACGTGTGCTTATATGGTGGCTCCATTTATATAAATTTTCCTGTTTGCTGGGTATTAAGGTTCAATGCTTTTTGCCCCCTTTTTGCAGTTCGCTTAAAACACTTGTTATTCTTTCATGAAACAACATACGTTATAAACTAAATAAGATTTGAAAATGTTCCCCCGTTTCCAGAAAGACAGTCATTGTTGCTGACCACGTCTCTGTAACGCAAAACCGAATAAATATATTGTACGGATGGTCAACTCATTGTTAATGTTGGTGGCGCAGGTTTTTACTAAATTCTAACATGTTTAACGGTGATAAAATAATAAAATTTACAATTAACATGCGCGTTCGGGAGAGGTTGGAAATTAAATCATTAAGGCTACGGCGAACTTTTAAAAGGTAAAGCTATCCCTGTAACAGACCGTGGACTTCTTTAGAATTGTGAGGCATTGAGGTTCCCAAATTTTTCTAGACAATACATCGTAGACTTACAGATGACAGTGAGGTTGTCAGATGCTGGTGAGAGCCTACAGCAATTGTAACGACAGACTCACCCTCTCGTGAGGGAGGCTGCTACTCAAGGACTACAACCGCAAGTGTTCAGTCGAAAATAATTACTGGTCGTCGGTCTCAAGGGGCTTGTCGCCAAGATGAACTGATTGGCGGTAAACGGCCAGTCGTAAAGTAACTCTGGCTTTTAATTTTTCTGTAATATTATGAAGCATATGACATAAACCCGAGCCTGCTGCTTACTGACCGGTTGAGGCTGAGATCGAGGAACTTGAGGGCCTGCATGGGCTCAAAGGCGCGGTCCTCGATGTGGGAGATGCTGTTGTTGGTGAGGTAGACGCGCTGGATGAGCAGCAAGTCACTGAAGAGGGCGCGATCCACACGCGTCAGCCGATTGTGTCCCAGCCACATGATCTGAACGGAGGACTGGCCCCGGAGCGAGTCGTTGTGCAGAGACACCAGGCTGTTCGAGTCCAGCTGGATGGACACCAGGGACGGCGACTCGTGCAGGAAGACATCCCCCAGCGCCGCCAACAAGTTCCCCTGTCACGCAAATACGAGCAAACAAATTCAAGTTGCGCTGAAACGCAAACACTGTTCTACAGAGCGTAGGGATTACCACAAGGCGGGTTGCGAAAGCCTACAAAGAAGCGTCTGGAGCGACCACAAATGTCACATTTGTTCTTGTTGCTCATTTAGAGACGTCGTCAGCAAGTCAGAATATCAATGGGGAAAGTACGTGTATGTCACATGACGCAGTCGTTGCTAGATTAATGGTGCTCTAGCGGAATCTGCCTGAAAGGATCGAGGTGGTGGGATATAACGCAGTGTTGTCTGTTTAAAGTCAACCGACGTTTCGGAGGAACATCTTGAGGGTCGAAGAATAAGCCGTGGAAGAAACCCTGCTTACCAACTGCTTTCAAGCTGGTATGTTGCTCGGCTTATTCTACCCTGAAGATGGAGGCGATATATTCCTCGGAAACGTTGGTTAACTTTCAACAGACAACATGGCTTTATATCCTAGAAGATAGAACTCTACTAATTGGGAACCTGAGAGTACGTAGTGTTATCGCTTGGCGTAACTTGCTCTAACTAACTAACTCCATGGAGATGAGTCCTTAAGAAACAGCCAGCTGTGCAGCTACTCAAGGACTTCCTAGCATTTTATGGAACCCGAAGTTTCATAACCCTGTTCACATGAGCCCTTCACTGGTTCGTATCCTCAGCCAGATCAATCCAGTCCATACCACCCCATCCTANCAGGCCAAAGAATGAATATCATGTACTGTAAGTTGTAGTTAGATTGATTTCCATGTATTAGTTGACCTTTAGACAGAGAAGGAGAGAGAAGTAATATATCCTCAATGTAATTTTGTATATGTGTGTTTCATTTACCCGGCACCTCCCAAGCCCAGTAAGAGCAATCCACGGGCCCATAGGGGTCGGCGCTACCCCAACCCCTTGCGGCACAACAACACGCCCATCCTCTTCACAGAGACAATGTTACATAAGGACTACAACCGCCAGTGTTCACTTGGAAAATAAAAATACTGGTCAGCAGATTCNTCAGCAAGTCAGAATATCAATGGGGAAAGTACGTGTATGTCACATGACGCAGTCGTTGCTAGATTAATGGTGCTCTAGCAGAATCTGCCTGAAAGGATCGAGGTGGTGGGATATAACGCAGTGTAGTCTGTTTAAAGTCAACCGACGTTTCGGAGGAACATCTTGAGGGTCGAAGAATAAGCCGTGGAAGAAACCCTGCTTACCAACTGCTTTCAAGCTGGTATGTTGCTCGGCTTATTCTGCCCTGAAGATGGAGGCGATATATTCCTCGGAAACGTTGGTTAACTTTCAACAGACAACATGGCTTTATATCCTAGAAGATAGAACTCTACTAATTGGGAACCTGAGAGTACGTAGTGTTATCGCTTGGCGTAACTTGCTCTAACTAACTAACTCCATGGAGATGAGTCCTTAAGAAACAGCCAGCTGTGCAGCTACTCAAGGACTTCCTAGCATTTTATGGAACCCGAAGTTTCATAACCCTGTTCACATGAGCCCTTCACTGGTTCGTATCCTCAGCCAGATCAATCCAGTCCATGCCACCCCATCCTATCTCTCCAAGATCCATTTTAATATTGTCAAGTGCATTAGTGACTTCAAACGCGGGTTTGGATTGGCGAATCGATTTACTGGATGTTCGTCAGGCGGCACTACAATTAATTATAACACATTCTTTCTTACTGTAACTGTACTTCCTGTCAGTGGCTTTTTTGTTACCCATAGCATTCGTCACAGAGAAGATCGTCCGTCCCCACTGGCGAACACATATACTTCGACATGTAGAACCGTTGCTAGGCAACGACCGCGAAAGAAACAAGTAGACAATGACCGCTGCTAGGTAATGGCCCTGTTTTACATAACGTATACCGGGCACATCAGGTGGTTATTAATGTAGGCTTTGAAATGAAAGAGGGAGTGCATTTTTTAAAAACTGCAAAATGGGGAGCTTCCTAACTTATACTCTTCGTCTAGTGTAATTAGAAAGATCAAGTAAAGGAGGATGATATTGGCAGGGCATATAGCACGAATGAGAGCGAAGGAAGAATGCTTGTAGGATATTGATGGGAAAGACAGAAGGAAGGAGACCAGTACGAAGACAAAATGTGGGTGGTTGGATAATATTAAAATGGATCTTAGAGAAATAGGATAGAGTGGTATGGACTGGATTGATTTAGCTCAGGATAGGGACTAATGAAAAACTCTTTTGAACACGGTAATGAATCTTCGGATTCCATAAAATGCTGGGAAGTTCTTGAATAGCTGCACAACTGGTGGCTTCTCAACAAATAAATGCCTGGTTTAACTCCGTAAGTCGGTGCTTTCTGATGGTGCCCTCTGAGTTTCGTAAAAATTGTCATCGTCCCGTTCTTCACTTTGCGCGTGTGTCCATAAAGAACAGTCCTTTTCCAATGACCTCATCGGGACATGAACCCACGACCTTCCGGCTTGTAGCATAGCCCCTCAAGCACTACGCTAACGCGTGTCCCGTTGCATAGATATATCACAAATTAAATAAACTCAGTTGACACAAATGTGAAAGTCAGTTCTTTATTTGACTGTTGTGTTGACGGATATATACAAACGATATATATATATATATATATATTTGTCAGTGTCATATACAAATTGAAGGAACAACATTTACCCAGTTTCTGGACCGTGTTAAAGGAGCAGTTAAAGTAGCCTCATTTATTAACTGTCAAAAATCTTATGTTTCACAAACCACAGGAGGCAGTCAAGAGAGTGGGTGATGCAGTCTCAAGCAAAATCCCGTTGGACTTGTTCTTTGTCGCTCCACGGTTGAAAGTCTTCAAGTCCCGCAAGCAATACCGGATCAAACATCTCTATTACGCTTATGTCGAGTGCAAGTCACAGCTGTTTGTGGCACCCATGAACAATGAGGAAAAGATGACGCTGATATGTCTAGATGGGTTTGTAGTACATGGAGCAACATCGCAGCAAAAGAAATAAAAAGCACAATTACACTCTTTTCTACACGACTGCGACACTATAACTAATCATATGTTGGACTAAGGAATCAAAGTATCTTGGTGTTACACTTGACTCAATTAACATACCGAACCCACATATCCTGCATTTGTTTTTCCTTGGAACTACAGCCCCAGTGGGTCTAGGCCTACCTCCATGAACTTCTCTGTTCACTTCGGTTTTTCTAGATCTTACACATTGGTAGGACTCCTTGTGTGGGTGATCAGCTCGTCGCAAGGCCTCTACCTGTACACAAACACAGAAAAACGCACACACACAAACTAAACATCCATGCCCTGAGTAGGATTCGAACTCACGATCCCGGTTTCCAAGCGCGCGAAGACAGTATATGCCTTAGACCGCTCGGCTACCGTGACCGACATCCTGTATTTTGCGCAAAGCTAATTACAGACTGAGGCAACTGTTCCCTATATTAAATAAATCCTCCACAATTGACATTAATTAAGCGTTGGTAATATATAAATCATTCCTCCGTTCCATATTGTACCTAACATGCCTCCCCCGCATGGGGCTATGCTGCCAACGCTTACATAAATAAATTAGAGACATCTCAAAATAAAGTCCTCAGGATAATAACAAAATTGCCGAGGATAACACCAATTGTAACCTTACACGAACAGACAGGAATGTCATCAATAAAAAGTCATTTCAAGAGGTCAGCGAGGACATTGTACCAGAAGTCTATAACCAGCGAAAACAGTCAGATTCAGGCACTTGGACAATACGATTCCACCGGTGATAAACATCTGCGTCCCTTATCCCTGTCTGTAAGATAATCAGCTCTAAGATCTCTTTACATGTAACTGGATGATTGAAACTCCCAAAATACCCAGTACGCCCGCGGCCACATGGACCAGTCATCATCTATGCTGGACAAGGAAAAAGGATGAGATTAAATAAGAACTGTAATCATAAAATCCTGTCATTGGATAAGCACCAAACCTTCCCTTCTCCACAATAGAGATTTAAATTTTTCAATACTTAAACAGTTATAACCCTTGCAAATGTGATAGACCAATGTTTGCTGTTCATCCAAAGTATGCAAAAAAATGTAGAAACACATATGTAAACCTTTAAAATAAAGCAACAGCCAGACAGGGTCTAATGTTAAGGTTCCCGCATTTAATGCCGGACTGCTGGCTAGAAGTCAGTTTGCATCCGGAAGGTCCTGCGACCGGCCAGCTCGACCAAAGTTTTCCGTGGTTTTCCTCGGTCCTACAGCAAATGCTGAGTTTGTACCCAAATTCCACGTTTCACTGCATGCCTCACATGCGGCCCTCCCATTGATAGCACCAAAATTTCGCCCTAATATAGTCGTCCCAACGTTAGCTAAAACTTTTACTATAATGTACCCCTTCCAGCGTCATAAAAATATTATAAATCCGATTATATGCTCTGCCTATATCAGAAGGATAAGCGGGCACTACCTGGGAAACTTCAAAATCGGAGATATAGTTTCTTACCCTTCCCCATGTACTGTCTCTCACTACCAACCCCCGATTATTCTTCTTCTTGTTCTTCTTCTTAAAACAAGCCAACTATCTGTGTTGGAATATGCAGATTCGTTACTTTTCTACTGACATATTGTGTTAAGCAGTTATTTGAAAAAAGTTGAGAGATTTCAATTGAAGAGTTCATTCGAAAGAGAGATGCTGTCGAGAATTGGGTGGAGTTCTGGAGGCGGCAGTCAAATGTGACTGAGGGGTGGCAAGAAAGGAATTAGACAGTGCAATGAAGACTTCATGAGTGCTGCAGTGACAGTGAGACTAGTATAACTGTGTGGATAATCCGTTGCAGGGACACGACTAGTGAGGACTGATATCCCTAGTGCCTGTGTAACGGTGAACTGTAAATTGTGCAGATGAGTAATAGCGCTGTAATTACGGATTTATCTGGCTCAGAATAGGGACCAGTTGCATGGTGTTGTGAACACAGTAATGAACCTTCAGCTTCCAAAAATACTGGGA